ACGGGGGGGAGAAGCGCGACCCGGGGAGAGAGAAGGGTTGGTGGAAAGTACGGACGCAAACGAACGTTAGAGCGAGGGAATACTTGCCGCTACGTCACGAGCTTAACCATTAGCGGTCGTACCAGGTCCGTGTTTAGACGCTCCGTTATTGAATTGGTTACCTACCTACGTTCGCCTGTCCTAGATATCGCACCCGGTGTTACACGCTCCGTCGCTAACATTAAAACCGACGAGGGTTGTGCGAGAACCGAATACGTCGCAGGCCGTGGACCATCATCGATACGAAAGAGTCTGTCGTTGCTTATTCGACATTGCTTTAATAAGTTATGATGTCAATTTGCAGGCTACAAGCCGGAAATATGCACATGAATTTTTACATTTTCTCTCTTTCTCTCTCTCCCTCTCTCTCTCTCTCTCTCTCTCTCTCTCTCTCTCATTCTCTCTCTCTGCCTTATAATGATGACTTATAATTAATAATACATCAAAGAGTTCTTACAATTAAATATATAATATTTAAAAAATTTTAATTATTTTTATTGTTTCAGAGATGAAATAAACAAAGTAAAATAAAAAAGTGAAAATGTAGTAATATTATGCAAAATGCAAATATATGTGGAAAAGAGTTTTTCATTTAAAAATGAATGAAAAAATAGAACGGAAATAATCGAGCAAAAATTTCTTATATTTAAAGACATTATCGATAAGTAGTGGATTATAAGCGTGCTTAGGTATTCTAGAAACGGCATTTGCGATATTACGCGGAAGATCGAGTAATATTCGGAATTCTAAGCCTGAGCTGCTGCAATATACGAAATATTCTAAATCAAAAGCGTAGAATAGAATGTTAAAAATAATCCTTGCAATTTAATTAAACAATCAATATCTGATCATAAAGATAAATTTAAATGTAATATATTAACATTTCTAGAATTAATAGAATTATGCATTTTAAATAATAATTGTTTATTTTTCGGGTTTAAAATCTTTTACATCAACATCATATAATTATTAATATATTATAAAATTTTACATGTATAAAGACAAGAGTTATATATATGTATATGTCTATACGAAGTGATAAGTGATAGAAATGTTATCACACACAATAAAAATGTTCTCTCTCATATATTTTAATGAAAAATTAAATTTGATCTTTTTAAGAGAATCGATATATATATATATATTCAATATAGAATTTTATAAAATTGATAACTGAATCAAAAATGTTCTGTAACATGTTCGAATATCGATTAAATATCAGTGATGCTTAAACAGAGTGTGAAACCATCAATTGATCGCTTTAAAGTAGTGATTGGTTTCATTCAAAAATAAATTAAAATAAAGTAATATGAAGTTATATGAATATGTAACAAGATATATGAATTACAAGGAACAGATCATTCAATTTATTTCTATTATTTCTATGTGCAATAATTTCGCGAATAAATTAATATCTTATAATTCCAATAGAATTTTGAAATTCAATGATTTCGTATATTTTTTTAAAAAGAATATCAAAATTTATTCTACAATCTCAAAAAATGTAAAGAAGAAAGTTCGTAAGTATTAATAATAAATAATGAAAATTATTGTTGTGTGATAATATGCCAAAAGTATTTAAATAAAGCTAGTATATTTAGCATAATTTGTTATATAATATTAGTATTTGTTATAGTTATAATGTTACTTCAATAGATGCAATTATCAAATCGATGATTAAACATCGAAACATATAAAAAAACACTTAATTATACTAATGGGTAAATAAAAATGATCGCAAACAATTCCTTTGTAAATCCAACATGAAATACCTATTTCGATATTACTTGTTTAAATTGTTTATATAACGAAAACGCTTTTTACAATCCAAACAATTTTTCAAAATGTATATGTACATTGCAAGCAATTTTTTGTAGTTGCATTGCACACATACATTTTTTAAAACCTTTTAGAAAATTTCAAAAATGACACCTATACGCATATCGCGTTTAATTTTAAGTGATAACTTCAGGAATGTGTAACGATAACTTTTCGAAAATTCGCAGCCTCCTTTAGTCTCATCCTCTTTGCTTCGCTGCAAACGAGCTTCTTTTAATTAAAATGATTCATCCTGCGTTCGCTTGCACAAGATTTAATCGGTGATCGAATGAACGTAGTTTCGCGAACGTGTAATTTAAGTTGCATCGTATCGGCAGGATAAAGCCGCCTTTGCATCGATCTAATCCATGCGAAATCGGTGGGATTGTGAGCTTACGTATGAGAACGAATAAAGATGAAAAGAGAGAGAGAGAGAAAAAACAAATTGAAAACGATTCTCGCGAATATATTACTATATCTCCGTGTCGATTTCAGCATAATATACATGCTACAAGAGAACACAGATTCGTGAAAGCAGAATTGTGTACATATTACAAGAATCTTCTTAATATATTACAAGATATTGATTTCTCGGCAAATAAAATATTCTGTCTATTAAAATATTAATTTTTTAATAATTACCAAAAATTAATTGTTTTCTTATAAAAATAGTAATTTATTCTCTCTCACTTCTTTCTTCTTTTTTTCCACTCTTCATTATTAAATATTTTTTAAATTGATTTGTCCATTAAAATTCTTTCAAAATAAAGTCTATTCACAAAATTATATGAGGAATAATATATTTAACTATGTCTTCACAATTTAGTGATTCATATTTTAAATCACATGTCGTAATTTTAAATGTCTTAATATATGCATATTCAAATTGCCTTAAAATTAATTCAAGAATTTAAGGAATTACAGTTAATATTATTACAAAAATTGAGAGAAAAAACTTTTTTAATATAACTATTCTAAAAACCACCTCTCGAAAATGAGACTCGATTCTATCTCTCGAACAACAAATTATACTTGTAAGCACAAACATGCAGAGATAATAAAAATATAACAAAAACGAGAAATATAGAAGGATTGACAAGCCTATAGAAAATTTCTAATAGCTATTCTTTGATTAAAAATTAATTAGTTACTACTAGAAATCCGATTGAAGCAACAGGAAAAATGTAAAGCACAAATTATTGTATGTACTTAAAAGGATAGATCTTTTTATTCCTCTAACATTCTTCTAATTTCAATCATTTCACGTTCTTATTCTATAACTATTAACACTATACTTCTTTATCCTACAAACTCTTATATGTAAGTCTAGTTTCCTGCGCTTAGTGAATTATTAATTTCATTAATTTCGTCTCAATTTCTCTCCGTGCGGAATTTCTCGCTCCTGTTGGACTGGAAACCGAACCTAACTAAGTCGGTGCAGACTTTTCAAGTCCATAACACATAGATACGACGCAAGAAGCGAAACGAGCTCTGTCTATTGGAAAAAATTACGACACTCAACACTTTCTCAGTTAACGAAGACGCTCTAATGTGTAATAAAAATGTTTTACAGCTTTTTCAAGGAATCACGACAGATTCGAAATTTTAATATGTTTTATTAAAAAGGCAGAAAATTAAAAAGCAGAAATAAGTTCTCATAAAATATTTAAAAATTGTGTTTGAAAATTCACATTTACGTATGTCAACATTTGACAAAAAAATTGAATTTAATAAGAGGAGATATGATTTATTCTAATCATAAAAATCGCAATTTGTTATTATGCAAGAAAAAAATACAGAAGGAAGGAAAGATATATAACTTCATTTTTTCGCATTTTCATTTCCTCAGCTTTTGCAAAATTTACTTTATAGTGTATCGATAATAGAAACTTTTGCGAGTTTGCTCTCTCTACTTTATTCTTTACGAAATGTAGCTCTTTAAGTGATTACTGTATGCATATTTTATGCGATAAGGGCGAACCGCGAGCACCTCCATCAGTGATCAAAGAAAGAAGCTGAAACTGATGATAAATTACCCCTGCTCGCAATATTACAAGTTCGCAAACTGCTTAAATTACGTTTCCTTAATTTATGCAGACGGACTGACATCGGCGGAAACTGCGTTAATACTCGATGCTTATAAAATTGTACCGATGGTTGACGATGGTTCAAGTTTTATAGCGAACGCTGTTTGATGTGATGGGAAAGAGAGGGTCGGATAAGTTTTCCAAGCAAAATGGCTGCGATGCGCATTGAAGAAAAGAAGGTAGATAGAAAAAAAGAAGAGGGAAGTCGACGACGATACGAGAAAAAGTGACGGAACGAAGTGAATATTGGCCATCTCCGAGTTTCGACGTCATTAAAACTTTTAGATTGCATAAGAATGGCTTCCCACTCTTCGCAGGCTCTTCAGAGTACGTCATGTCGAGCAAGAAATTCCTGTTCGGCCAAGCAGTAATTACGGGAGTCCATGATAAATTAAGAGAGCAAGACGAACGTTCGGTTTTTGTGCCTCTCTGCCAAAGCCCGGCATATTTTACCTTCTGATCTATAAACGGCGATCCTGACGTTTTTCACCTCTTCTTCTTCTTCCACTTTCACGTAAGATATTTACATTGAAACCTCCCGTCGAAACGCTGTCGAAACTTGCATTTGCAACCGACAAACATACAAATAACGGTGCTTATTCGCTTTTACTCGATTCTCAAAATAAGAAAATAAAAACGGTAAAATATATTAATTGTTTTCTAATGAATCGACATAAACAAGGAAAAAAGCGCGTTGTTTATAGAAAATAGCATCACAGAATTTATTTTTCATCATCGCGTTATCATGTTTCGCAATTCATGTATCGAAAAATTTTGTTTTTTATCTTATTGAGGAAATTTTCATACTAGAGGGATGTACTACTTGGAATAATGTTTAAATGCATCGAAAGTTCACTTCTAGAAATACAGTTCTATTATCGTAGCCGCAATTTGTAATAATAAGCACTTCGCTATTTAAAGTGGTTTGTTTCAAAAATACACTGAATTATTTGAATTATTTGAATTGAGGAGGAAAGAAAGAAGAAAAAAAAAAAGAGAAAAAGACAATAATAGAAGAAGAAGAAGAAGCTTACATTCCAAAGAGAAAAAACTTACATTCCGAAAGATATTTTATTACATCAGTCTGCTCTATTCTCGTGGTTATGTATTCTCGTTTCCCAATATCGTTACAATCATTGTGAATATCTAAAACAAAAGTTATATAAATGTTATGTATAAATCTGGCAATGTTGCCAGCTTTTTTGATTAAAGAAAAAGTAGAATAGATTTTTTTAAATTATATAATAAATATTCATATGCGTAAAATAATAATATTTTCCTCAAAATTTTTTTCCAAATGCAAATTTCAATATCTACTTTCAATAAAAAACAAAAACTTAAATAATAAATTTCATTTTTCTTAATAATACATTTGAATACTTAAAGTATATCGTTTTAAAAATATTAAAAAAATAATAAAATAAATATATATCTATACACTATATATTTTTTATTTTACTTTAATAAGTAACGTATAATTAAAAAAAATGGATGTTATCCACGCCCATATTATGTGTAAAAATAATTCATAAATATTCGATGCACATTAATCGCTAGATGTAAAATGACATGAATATATAAAGTTGCACTGCCATCATTTGGTCGCGAGATACGGGTTATCGATGATAATTAAAGGACGTTTTGATAGCGTCCGCGATGTTAATTAGATTTTCACGCACACGCAATACACCGATAGGCGGCGAAGGGCGGTAAATCTTGGTCGTGCATCTGGATTAATTTTGTAAACTTGGCCGCGTTGGCTTTTACGGACGCCATAAATTTCGCAATTCAACACTCCCGACAAGGCATACGAGCACGCGTTTTTTATTTTCTCTCTCTGTCTCTATCTTTCTGTTTTTTGACTAGACAACGCACGACCAGTTTAACGTGAAACTGGTACACGCGAGTGCTACTACGTAAAAAATCCATAAATGTCGAGAAATTCAAGATATATATATATATATATATATATATATATATATATATATATATACTATGCGCTCGCGACCACGAGCGGCATTATTGTCAGCAGCTGTGCCGGGGTGGGTGGCAATCCAGATTACTGTCATCGCCACCGATAAATTCCGGAACGCGGCACCCGTACTTTAAACCGTTTACCGTAGCCTGCGGCTCACGATAGTGTCGATACACGTTAAAACAATTTATCGTGTGAAAATCGCTTATAAAAATGATCCAGATTCCTAAATTGCTCAAAAAAACACGTAGACATAAGTTAAACACTAGTCATGAAGAATTTAGATTAAACGAAATTATATACATTTGTATCAGAAAATAAAGTAAATGACGATTTTTTAAATGCTGCATTGAAAAAAGAAATGTTTATATATGCCATTTTGGATAATTAGTATGCAAAAACAATTTTTTCTATTAAATTAAGATTTCTACAATAATCAAAAATATCTATTTAAGATTGTGATTTTGATTTCAAAGTATTATGATGACTATAGAAATGCATAACAAAATAATAAACAAATTTTAAGGATTAAAAACGATTATACAAAATTTGTTTTTATAAAATCATTAATAATTATTTCTAAAAAAAAGAAAATAAATAATTTTTTAAATTATTATTAACATACAAGATGATAGAAGAAATATACTTTAAAGAATTTACTATAATTTATTATTAGAATCTACTATTCTATCTCGCATAACAATTCTTCTTGTTTTTTTTTTTTCAAGATCAAAGCATCAATATACATAAACGACAGTTGTATAACATAACAGATATTAATTTAGCAAGAGTAATAAATAAAATAAAAATTGTCTCAATTACATTATTCAACTATACAAAGCAAAATTATCATTGTATGCTCTAAAGTAATGTAGTTTTGGTTTTGATAGCCTTGAGAAGATACTCTCGGAAAATACGCTCGTAGGTCACAAGAGATCTTCGAAGAAGGATCTCACGCGCGGGTAAAGAGGTATTTCGCGAAGTTACGTTTTGCGCAAGAACGTGTCGTATAGTTCACCGCTCCCGGCATCAATAACGCGCACCACGCGTTACCGGAATGTTTCGTATGCCCGTTAGAAACAGGAACAATTTAAAGTTTCCGCCGGGTGCTTCTCGTATCCTCCTGGCAAGCTTCCCCTTCGCGGGAGTCTTCGCCAACGTTGCCGAGAGACCACCTCTCGACCGGCTTAGTGTAGAAAAATACCGTTATAAACGGTATTTGTTAACAAGTCATTCTGTTGTTAAAACAAAGAGAAACCCAGAGAAATGGAATTAAGAAGGTCTCCTTCGAGTATTTTGAGATTTAAAGCGAATTTATGTTCGTATTATCCCGTTTGTAGTATTAAGTCGCAACCGCAAATGTATATGCCAACGTTCCTTTCTTCCTTCGGCACTGTTTAGAGATCCCCGACAATACACCGAACAGCAAGAAAACGAGAGAACGAGGTGAAGGAGAAGAACCCTTGCAAATGTGCCTTGGAAACTACAACCCACGCGAGGATTACGAATCGGACCCCGACACGGACTGTGCGAGGATCACAAGTTAGGAAGTCGTAACCGGTTTTGGGATTAAGGTTGTCCAGGTCACTATCTTCCGGTGAATACTGAATGCACACCGAACGTGTGCAGATCAAGGTTTGGCCTGTGTATCCCGGGACCGAATACACTAAATGTCTCGAAACTCTTGCTTTAGCCGCGTCTGTGAATTCTTTGGGCACAACTTGATTAAGTCCCATTAGATTTCAGTTCTCTTCTTTAATGAATGTATAAACATTTTTGTAATAATCAAGATTATTGACAAAACGCATTCGTAAGCATTTTTAGTAGCAAAAGAAATGTTAAAAAAAAGAATAGAAAATATTCGATTATTTTATGTTCAGTTCAACATGGAATTAACTTAAAATATTATTTAGCAAAATTTAAGCATAAAATAATCGAATATTTTCTATTCTTTTTTTTTAACATTTCTTTTGCTACTAAAAATGCTTACGAATGCGTTTTGTCAATAATCTTGATTATTACAAAAATGTTTATACATTCATTAAAAAAGAGAACTGAAATCTGATGGGACTTAATTAGCGTTAAACTATATCTGTGAAAAAAAATATAATTTTATTAAATCATGAAAATGTATAAATATTGTTATTTTCAAATGCAATTGTTATTTTAAACAGCAATATGAAATAATAAATTTTATCGGTAAAGTTATTCGCGTAAAACTACCAACAAAAAAATGTATATCTCAAGCGTTCCACTGTCTTGTCAGCATTCGCATTGAAACTTATACTTCATTCTTTGAAACGCAATCGCAAGAGAAGCATGTCAACTTGCTCCATCTGTATAGAAAGTTATTGCCACGTGAATTTTCAAAAGCGCCGGAAGTCGACGCAATCCAACATACAATGCGAACGCAATTTTCCATCGAAAGTTAAATCGACTGCTGGATAGTAGTCCATATGAAATTTTCGCGTGCGCGTATTCTCTCTCTCTCCCCCCCCCCTCTCTCTCTCTCTCTCTCTCTGACGTCCTTTCGCGGAAAATCAAACCATCTTGTCAGGATACGTATGTAGATACTTACGATTCCGTCTGGGGCGCGCCAAAGTTTTGAGGGGCAAAGCGGGGAAGGTAGGAGGGTTGAGCTACGATGTTCCCTATTCTCAGTATTCATGGTTTAATCAGGAACCAACTCGCTTCCACAAGGAGAGGAAAGGCAAGTTTAGTTACTGCGAAATGGTAACTATCACCGAGAATACTTGTAAGTATCGATCGCGCTCTGAGAAAGTTACAGACTGAAAACTTCTATGGGCCAAAATGTTTGAAACATTTAACACACATACTATATCTTGGGGAAACTAATATCATGTATGTTATTATGATCCAACAACTTAAATTCCATATTGTATATATATATATATATATATATATATATATATATGAAAACTTCTCTCTCTCTCTCTCTCTCTCTCTCTCTCTCTCTCTCTCATAATTTAATTTATTATAATTCATCTTCTTTTAAATTGTTTAAAAGATGTTTAAGTAACCTGCTTTATATACAGATGTCAATTTTATAGGGTTGCATCATATAATTTTCAATAGTGTATACAATGAAACAAAATTAATTTTGAAAAGCTGTATTAATTTAATACACACTAAAAGGGAGGGGGGAGAGAGAGGGGGGAGAGAGAGGGGGGAGAGAGAGGGGGAGAGAGAGAGAGAGAGTAGTATAACACAAATATACTAATATTTTATAATGTTTTATTTTAAAGAAAGTGTAAAAAAATAAATAAAATAAGAAAGAAACTAATATACATATAATATATAACAAAAATATATAATAAATCTGGTGAAAATTTAATTTTTAATAAACTGAATTTAAAATAATTCATTTAATGACCTGGATTCCTTGTTGGAATTCAGAATATTAAACAGATTATTTAAAACTAGACGGATTTATATTTTAATTCTTTATATTTGCATTTATTATTATATCTTTTTTAATAACATATATTCATTATGTAATGTAAAATTTATATTATTTGTATCTATATCTATTCTTTCTTATTTCATTACTAAAAATACGCAAATTATTCTCTAAAAGTTCATTTAATATCCAGAAAATGTTCTCATAATATTTAGAATATTTTATAGAAGATTCATAGGATGTTCACAGAACGTGACTTTTTGTCTACTTCTAATTCCATTGAAGATTGACAGGAATTTTGAAGTATCATGTAAGAATATTCTAGGAATATTAAAACATTCGACGATGTTATTCTATGAACGTTCATAGAACGTGCTGTATGGGGTATAACTATGTATAATAATTCGAACGACAAAACAATGCGATACATACGTAAAAAAAAAAACTTAAAAACTAATATAAAGTGACAACTCATTCCTAAATTGTAAAAAGAAAATAATTCTTTGAAAGCATTTATTTCTAAATTTTAATATGAATTTTATTAAAATACTGTAATGTTACCAGCTTTATATAAATAAGAGTAAATTCGATATTTCAAAGCGCATTCCAATTTTACTTTCAGTAATAATTTAGCTGAAATAAAAATTATCTTTTCCATTATTTTCTTCCGTGTCTGCTTTCCGCGCGTTGCGGAAAGACCGCGAACTGAACACAATACATACAATCTTTCGGCGCAGTAGACGTCAGATT